AAAAAAAGAAATGTAGTTGAAGTGCACCGTTGGATCCGTTCTGACAGACGTACACACCCGAGATACCACCGCCACACTCCCCATGCCCCCCACTCCTGGCTTCCTGTCCACCCCTGCTGTCGCTAGAGATCTGTGCCCCCACAGCCCCCTCCCCGCTCTGATTTTTGTTCCTGTGTGTGTTTCTGACTTTCTCAGAATCTGGTGGAAACAATTCTCTCCTTAGCCTACTTCCCCAGGGGAGCTAGCCAGCAGATTCAGGGGTGTCCAGGACGGCCTGGATTTGTTGGCTCCACCGTTTCCCCAGAATTGCCCCTTACTGCGGCCACCCCATCCCACCTCCACCCCCACTTCCCTGGCCGTCCCCTGGCCCCGCCCCGACCCGGCCTTCCCTCCACCTTCAGCCCCCGGACTTGGGGCTCACTTCTCCGTCCCCCATGCTGCAGCTTTCCTGACTGCTGTCTTTGTCCTCAGTCTGTTCCGATACAAGCACCCCTCGGAGGAGGCGCTGCGGGCTCTGGCGGGGAAGCCGCGGCCGAGAGGCAGGAAGGAGCGGTGAGTGAGTGAGTGAGGCCGGCCCGCCCCAGGCGAGCGGCTCCTGCCGGGAGCTCCAGGCTGCAGGTCCAGGGCCTGCACCCCACTCTCCCGGTGCGGCTCTGGGCACAGGTGAATCAGTCCCCAGTCTGAGGAGATGGTCTCCATCAAGTTAGCATCGAAGGTTTCATGGCGCTTTGCTCTGGGCCAGCCAGCCCGGCCCCTGCCGAGGTGTGGCAGATCCTCCCAGGCCCCGGGTGGGGTGTGGCTCTCAACTGACCCCTACTTTGTCCCCATACCTCCAGGTGGGCCAATGGCTTTAGTGAGGAGAAGCTGTTGTCAGTGCCCCGAGACACCCCATTCCAGCTGGAGACCTGTCCCCTCACGGCTGTGGATGCCCTCGGTAACAGCCCAGTCCCGGTCCCCAAACTCCCCTCCCTCGGCCACGGGTCACCACACCCTCATGAGGGTTGGGAGGCAGAGCGTCCTCAGTGGGCGTCCCAGGGCTGAGCCGTGGGCTCCCCGCAGTCCTGCGCTTCTTCCTGGAGTACCAGTGGTTTGTGGACTTTGCCGTGTACTCGGCTGGCGTGTACCTCTTCACCGAGGGCTACTACTATGTGCTGGGTCCTGCCAAGGAGACCAACATCGCCGTGTGCTGGTGCCTGCTCACTGTGGCTTTCTCCATGTATCCTTCTCCCTGGTCCCTGGGTGGGCGTGTGGGGGCAGCACCCAAGCTTCTGTCCCCTCAAACTGCTGTGTCAGTTATAGCCTTCCGTGCCACTAATCTCCCCCAAACTCAGTGGCACAGCGCAGCCACTGGCTCTGTAGTGGGCAGTCTGGGCTGCGCTCAGCTGGATAGGTTCATCACTGCGCCACGTGGTCTTGTCCTCTGGTGGTGGCAGAAACACTAGGAAGCAAGAGGGGCTGGAAGCAGAGGGGATGGCTTGCCCGGAGTCAGCCCACTCCCATCCCTGTCCCTTCCACCACATTCTCTCTGTCAAAGCGAATCACCAGGGCAGGGGCACCTGCTCCCCAGGCCTCCTTAGCTCCGTCCCCCAGCAAGGTGTTCCTGATGGTGACTCGGCTGTACTTCAGCGCTGAGGAGGGGGGTGAGCGCTCCGTCTGCCTCACCTTCGCCTTCCTGTTCCTGCTGCTGGCCATGCTGGTGCAGGTGGTGCCGGAGGACACCCTTGAGCTGGGCCTGGAGCCAGGTGGGTGCAGGCCTGGCATAGGGACACCGCCTCCATCACTCCCTCATGTAAGCTGACCAGGGCGTGTTCGTCTGGCACGCAGTAGGTGAAGGAGAGTGCTTCTGGGGCCCAGCAGTCTCCATGTGGACTGTGGTGGCTCCTGAGCCTCAGGTGCTTGCCTCCCTGGGCCCCCCATTGGGCGTTGAGGATGACAGGACATTTCCCCTCTCACTGTCTCTGGTGGACGCCTGTGCCTATAGCTCTTCTGTTCTGCTCCAGTCTGTCCCCTACCCAGCAGCTGCCGTGTTTAATACTTACCTATTCTAACTTAATCTGGTAAATGGTATAAAATTCATAAAGTACAAGAGTGTATAGAGTGAAAAATCACCCTCCTTAATGGTCCTCCTCCCCAGAGGAAACCCAGGGTGCCGCTTTTCTTATTCACACAAAATACATCTCTACGCCTGAACTTTTTCCCTTGAAAACAATAAATATTGGAGGTTGTCCCTTGTCACTACATACAGTGTCTTTTTTTCATAATGGCTACTTAGTATTTCATTTTATGGATGTTCTATGATTATTTAACCAGGCCCCTATTTATGGACGTCTAGGTCTTTTACTATGAAACATTGTTGCTCAAAACCACGTTGTTGCAGAACAGTGTTGTACAGGAATAACCTTGTGCTTGTGTCCCTGTGCAAGAAAGTACATTTGTAGTTTTGACACTGTTGCAAGTTGCCCTTCAGGAGAAGGTTTATGTGTGTGTCTCTTCCCCAACGTACTCTCCAATGCATTTCCTCAGACTTTTAAGTCTTGGGTGGTCTGATGGGTAAAACAGTCATCCCTATATAGGACCCGAACCCGTGGCGGGAGCGCTGCTGCGCTCCCAGCGCTGCACTCTCCCGAGTGCACCATGGGCTCGGCCCGTCTTTTCACATCTTGAAGAGCCAGTTTTATTTCCCTTTCTGAAAGGGTCTGTCCATTTATTTTGGCCAGTTGTTTTTTTTTTAACCTGGTTGTTGGCTCTTTTATTGATTTATAGGAACTTGTTATGTATGTATGTATGTATATATATATATATATTTTTTTTTCCCCCCCTTTTTGTCTTTTTTTACTGACCGGTAATGGGATCGCAACCCTCGGTGTTGCGCCCACACCGCGCTCAGCCAGTGAGCGGGAACCGGTCTCCACATGGGATCCGAACCCTCCACGGGAGCGCTGCCGCACTCCCAAGCGGTGCACTCTCCAGTGCACCACCGGGCCGGCCCAGGAACTCGTTATATATTAAGGAAACTAGCTTTTGTGTGCGATAGGAGTTGCAAATATTTTTTCTCACTTTACTGTTTATCATTTGACTTTATTTCTTTTCTTTTAAAAAAATTTAATTGACACATAATAATTGTACATACTTATGGGGTACTGTGTGATATTTCGGTACATGTATACAGTGTGTAATGATCAAATCAGGTTAATCAACATATCCATCACCTCAAATATTAATTATTGCCCTGTGTTGGGATTGACTTTATTTCTTGAATGATCTTTTAAAAACATAATTTGGGGACCGGCCCGTGGCTCACTCGGGAGAGTGTGATGCTGATAACACCAAGGCCCCGGGTTCGGATCCCATATAGGGATGGCCGGTTCGCTCACTGGCTGAGTGTGGTGCTGACAACACCAAGTCAAGGGTTAAGATCCCCTTACCGGTCATCTTTTAAAAAAATAAAAACATAATTTGGATCACATTACCTCTCTGCCTGGCACCAGACTGGTCTTAGGAGAAAGACAAAAATCCTCACGTTGGCCCAGGTGGCCCTACTGACTCCTTGAGTTTTACCTTCTCCAATTCTCCCTGCCTTTCCATTTTTTAAAATCAAATAATGTTCGATCTGTACAAAAGAACGTGTGTATGCAAATTATAAAGCAAAATAATATTATGAGCACCTGCGAACCTACCTCTTGAATAATAACTAGATGGGTGGTAGCTGCACCAGTCTCTCATGGGAGCAGTAAGGTTTAAATGAGTCAAGATCGTTCTGGCGCCCTAGGGTGACAATAGCTAATGATATTGTACTGTGTACCTCAAGATAGATAGCCAGAAAAGCAGATATTGAATGTTTTAACCACAAAGAGATGATAAATGTTTAAGTGGTAGACATGCTGACTATTCTGATTGGGTCGTTATACAAAATATGCATGTATTGAAATACACACAGTGTGTGATTCCATTTACGTGAAATGTCCAGAACAGGCCAATCCACAGGGACAGAAAGTGGGTTCATGGGCCGGCCTGTGGCTCACTCGGGAGAGTGCGGTGCTGAGAACACTGGGGCCACGGGTTCAGATCCTATATAGGGATGGCCGGTTCGCTCACTGGCTGAGCGTGGTGCTGACAACACCAAGTCAAGGGTTAAGATCCCCTTACTGGTCATCTTTTAAAAAAAAAAAAAAGATCAACGGACAGTGCTGGATTTTCACCATGCTAGCACCTGCGGTGTGGACCGATGCCTTCTGTGGCCTTAACATGCATTTCTCTGATGACCAGGGAAGCTGAGAACCTTTTCCCATTTATTCACGATTCACGTTTCCTCTTCTGTGAAGTGCCTGTTCATATGGTAGCCCATTTTTCTTTTAGGCTGTATGTCTTTTTTTCCCTTTAGTTTTTTTTTTTTTTAATTGTAATAGGAAAAACATAAAATCCACCTTCTTAACCATTTGTAAATGTACAGTTCAGCGGCACTGAGTACATTCACACTATTGTGCAACCATCACCCCATCCATCCCCAGAACTTTCTCATCTTCCCAAACTGAAACTCTGTCCCCATTAAACACTGACTCCCCATGCCCCTCCCCAGCCCCTGGTGACCACCATTCTACTTTCTGTCTGTGTGACTCTAACGGCTCTAGGAACCTCATATAAGGGAGCCATACAGCATTTGTCTTTTTGAGTCTGGCTTCTGTCATTGAGCATAATGTCCTCAAGGTTCATCCATGAACAGGTGATAGAATTTCACTTTTAAGTCTGAATAATATTCCATTGTATGGATCTACCGCATTGTGTTTATTCAGGCAGGCTGCTTCCACCTTTTGGCTATTGTGAATAACACNTTTTTGAGTCTGGCTTCTGTCATTGAGCATAATGTCCTCAAGGTTCATCCATGAACAGGTGTTAGAATTTCACTTTTAAGTCTGAATAATATTCCATTGTATGGCTCTACCGCATTGTGTTTATTCAGGCAGGCTGCTTCCACCTTTTGGCTATTGTGAATAACACTGCTATGAACATGGATGTACAAATATCTCTCTGCGACCCTGCTTTCAGTTCTTCTGGGTATGTACCCGGAAGTGGAATTGCTGGATTATACAGTAATTCTAGTTTTAATTTTTTGAGGAGCTGCCAGACTGTTTTCCACAGCAGCTGCACCGTTTCACATCCTCACCAGCGGTGCGCAAAGTCTCCAATTTCTCCACTTCCTCGCCAACACCTGTTTTCTTTCTTTGTTTCTTTTTTTTCTTTTTCCTTCTTTCTTCTCTAGGATAGTAGGCATCCTAGTGGGTGTGAGGTGGTATCTCACTGTGCTTTTGATTTGCATTTCCCTAATGATAGAAATGTTGAGCATCTTATCCTGTGCTTGCTAGCTGTTTATACGTCTTCTCTGGAAAAATGTCTATTCAAGTTCTTTGCCCGTTTTTTAGTCAGGTTTTCTTTTCTTTTTTTTTTTTTTTTTAATTGTTGACTCAGGAGTCTTCTATATATTCTTGATATTAATCCTTTATAAGATATATGATTTGCAAATATTTTCTCCCATTATGTAGTTTGCCTTTTTACTCTGATAATGTCATTTATGTATGTATGTATTTAATTTGGCAGCTGGCCGGTGCGGGGATCTGAACCCTTAGACCTGGGTGTTATCAACACTGTCCTCTAGCTGACTGAACTAAGCCGCCAGCCCTGACAGCGTCTTTCGATCCACAAAAGTGTTTAATTTTCACAAAGTCCAATTTGTCTATTTTTCCTTTTGTTGCCTGTGCTGATGAAGTTGCAGACAAGAAATCCTTGCCTAATCCAGTACTGTAAAGCTTGTGTCGGGCTGTCTGTCGTTTTGTTTCTTTCTTGTTGATCTGTAGAGCACGGTGCTAATAACACCAAGGTCCAGGGTTCAATCCTTGTACCAGCCAGCTGCCCCCCAAAAAGGAGAGAGAGACAGAGAGAGCTTAATTTAGTTCATTTGAAAATCTGCCCAATCAAAGCCCAGCCTGTGGCTCACTCGGGAGAGTGTGGTGCTGTTAACACCAAGGCCACAGGTTCAGATCCCATATAGGGATGGCTGGTTGGCTCACTGGGAGAGCATGGTGCTGACAACACCAAGTCAAGGGTTAAGATCCCCTTACCAGTCATCTTTTAAAAGAAAAAAAAAGAAAATCTGCCCAATCATCTGAAGGTAGTCTCATGTCCCCTGTTCTATGACTCCAACTTTATTTCCTTGATTATTTCACACATAACTGATAACACCAATTTCTGAAGTCCTTGGGTTCGAAACATATTTTGTTTTTTTTTTCTGCTCACTCTCCTTTATGGTGGTTTGTTTCCTTGAGGTTTGGCGCTTTTTGTTGTGAGGTCATATTTATTTGCTCTTAATCTGTGGAAAATCTTGGAGCCTGAACTGAGGACTCTTTCCCCCAGGAATACTTTGGTTTTCTCCTGCAGGAGCCCTTCATCTCCCCCAACCCCAACCCCAGATTCCTGGAATAGTCCAGGAAGCTCGAACTCAGCAGACTCACCCCATGTCCCCAGCCCAATGAGGAATGTCTGCCTGGTGCGTTCTTCTGTTTCTTGAAGAGAGCCCTGCAGAACTGCAGCACAAAGTTGTCGGTGCCTGGCACAGGGCTTGACCATCACTGATGCATTCCTACTACTTGAGGACCAAGAGGAAGTCCGGGAGCGTGCAGAATGGAATTAGAGACCCTGGGAATCCACTGTACTCTGTCCTCTCCTTATCTTCCCCAGGCCTGGCCAGCATGACCCAGAACTTGGAGCCACTTCTGAAGAAGCAGGGCTGGGACTGGGCGTGAGTCCTGGGGCTGGGGATCAGGGGCAGGGGGCAGGCTGGGGGCCTCCCAGGGTGTCACAGGCACGGTTCTGACTGGCTGTGGGGCCTCTTTGACTTGCTGTTCTCCCCAGGCTCCCTGTGGTCAAGCTGGCCACTCGCGTGGGGCTGGCAGTGGTGGGCTCCATATTGGGTACATTCCTCACCTTCCCTGGCCTGCGGATGGCCCAGACCCATCGCGACGCACTGATCATGTCAGAGGACCGGCCCATGCTGCAGTTATGTGGACTACCCGGTGGGTGGGGGGAGTTGGGAGCCAAGATAGGATTTTCACGCGTCACTCCTCCCTGTCCTCGCCACCACCCCTTCCAGGTTCCTCCTGCACACCAGCTTCCTCTCTCCCCTGTTCATCCTGTGGCTCTGGACGAAGCCCATTGCACGGGACTTCCTGCAGCAGGCACCCTCTGGGGGCACACCCTTCTCCCTGTGCGTACTGGGTGGGGCTGGGGGGAGGGCAGCTGGGGCCCCCTCTGTGTACTCCAGTCTCTGAGGCTCAGGGAGGGTCCGGGGAAGATCCTGGGGGGCGGGGCGGCCTCATTAGCCCTCTCGTCCCCGCCCCCCTTGGCGCAGGCTGTCGGACTCGGCCTTCGACTCAGTGCGCCTCTGGGTGCTGGTGGCGCTGTGTCTGCTGCGGCTGGCGGTGACCCGGCCCCACCTGCAGGCCTACCTGTGCCTGGCCAAGGCCCGCGTGGAGCAGCTGCAGCGGGAGGCCGGCCGCATCGAGGCCCGTGAGATCCAGCGGCGGGTACGGACGGATGCCTCGGGCGGGGAGGGAACCCGGGGCTGCGGGCGGCCGGGCCTCCCTGTCTCTCGGGCGTGAGTTCACCGCCAACCTGGAAGGCCCGCTGCAGCCACCACTGCCACCCGCCCACCAGGTGGTCCGGGTCTACTGCTACGTGACGGTGGTGAGTCTGCAGTACCTGACGCCGCTCATCCTCACCCTCAACTGCACGCTGCTGCTCAAGTCGTTGGGTGAGAGGCTGCGTGGTGGGGACAGGGACCCGCCGGAAGATGCGGTGGAGGAGGAGCCCGGGCAAGAGGAGGAGCCTGGGCAGGGGGAGGAGCAGGGGCAGGAGGTGGAGCCTGGGAAAGAGGTGGAGCCTGGGCAGGGGTGGTACCTGGGCAGGGTGAGGCAGGAGGTGGAGCCCGGGCCAGGGGCTGGGAGTGTTTGCCAAGATGGGGCCGGAGAGGCCGACCCCTCCTGTGCCTCCACTCATATCTGCCTCCAACCTTCTCTACTTGAAGGCGGTTACTCTTGGGGCCTGGGCCCAGCCCCGGTACTGTCCCCGGCCTTGTCCTCAGCCAGCACTGTCCCCATCGGCCCCGGGGAGGACGAGGTCCAGCAGACAGCAGCCCAGATCGCCGGGGCCCTGGGCAGCCTGCTCACGCCTCTCTTCCTCCGCGGAGTCCTGTCTTCCCTCATCTGGTGGACAGCCGCCTGCCAGCTGCTCTCCAGCCTCTTTGGCCTCTACTTCCACCAGCACTTGGCCGGCTCCTAGGTGGTTGCAGACTCTGCTGGGGCCCCGAAGGATGGTCCTGGGCCAGCAGGACATGGGCTTCTCCCTTGGTGTGTGCCCAGAGTTCCAGCAAGATGGGGCTGGTGCTCCTCACCGTCCCGTTCACTGCAGTGCCTGAGCCGTGGCCCCCCTTGGATCCCGCGTTTCTGCCTCAAAACTCTCCCCTGGGCCCTGCGGCAGGGAGGGTCCCACAGCCAATGTCACTGAAGTGACGTGCTAGTACTGGGTTTGAGCAAGGGCTGCTCTTCTGGACAAATAAAAGAGCAGGCCGATTTTTACAAACGGCATCTGAGTGGTTTGGAAGGTGAGTGCTGCAGGGTAGTGGCTTCCTGAATGTGTGGCACCGCCTGGGTGCAGGGGGTGGCCCTGGAGGCCTGGAGAGCAGAGCGGGACTGAGGCGGTAAGCAAACGCCTGAAGTAGAGAGGAGAGAAGGGTGAGAAGAAATTCAAGAGTCCTGAGGAAGAGCTGGAGGAGATCAGAAATGGAGGGGGAGTCATAGCTGAGAGGAAAGGTGGGTGGAGGGAGGGAGGACCGGAGAGGTGAGCACCATGAGGAAGAGCAGGGAGAAAACCAGAAGGGAAAAGAATCACAGGAGAGAAATGGGAGGGAGGTGAGCCGGTGGTGCCGTGGCCGTCAGCCCCACGTGCACAGGTGACTGCCTTCCTATAAAGGTCACCTGCAGGCAGATGGGCACATTGAGGCCACGGGGACCGCGGGGAATAGACGTGGGGCTGTCAAGCACCCTGGAATGTCCTGTTGCTCTGACGGTGAGGTGAGACACTGGTGTGTGTGCACATGTGTGTCATAACATACAGGTGGATTATGTAACTTTTCTGTATATGTAAAATGTTAAGAATAAAACAGATGAGTCACAGCCACTTCCGTCACCAGGATGGGAGCCCAAGGCCTCTGAGTGGCTCTCATGTTTCAAACTCTGCATTTCTGTTATGTGGATGAAAGTGAAAAGTATATCAAAAATAGGGTTCATGCCCTCTGTGTTACGATGAACTAGAAGCATGCATCTGATTTTGATCCTTCTCAAAATTTTACCCAGTAAAAGCAGAACATTCTGGAAACTAGGAATCTGGGGAGGAGCCAGATGACTACCAGGCTCATGGACATTGAAGTCTAAGCTCAGGGAACAGCCCAGTTTATCTGTATGGCCTTCTGGGCTCTTTGACAATGCCAGGACCTGCGGGGCTGGGCTGAGGGTGGGAGTGGGAGTGGGACACAGGCTGCCAGGTGGAAGCTGTTTGGAGAGTTCTCAGGTGCTGGGTCCCCCATGATGCCACTGGACACCACAGGAGGGAAGTGAGGCTGGGGGGGGCAGGTATGGTGCGAAGGGAATTAGGTGACTGCATAAACTGAAGGCTGAACAGAGAGCCAGCAGCCACACTCCCCCACTAGCTTACAGAGTGTTCCAGGCGTGAGACTCCTGGGGAATCCATCTGGCCCAAGAAGAAAGACCTAAAGACACCAGCACCCCATTAGCCACTGCTGTAGCTTTGAGTCCCTGCATCCCCCCAACACACCCTTGGTCGTCCATCCTGCTTGTCTCAGTCTCCATCCTTAGTCATCAGCAGATGGGGTGCGGTGGGGGGGGTGGTGGGATCTCTAGGAATCTGAGGAAACATCCAGTGTAAAAAACAAAAAAGCATCAGGGAAGCCAACTCTACAGGAAGAAGAAATATCCCAGAATGTTCTCAGACAGAAGAGACTTTATCCATGAAACAATAACAGACCACTACTAAAAATGAACATGTGAAGAACCATTTTTTGTTTTCTTTTTGAGCTCTTGGAAATTAAAAGCAGATGGAAGACAATGTTGTTGCAATCTTTCAGAAAGATGAAAAAGAATACAAAGGAACCAGAAAAAGACTAAAAAGAAAAAAAGAATAAAAAGGAACAAAAAGGAATAAAGGATGGTAAGGGGAAAAAAAAGAAGATATGGGAAACAAAAAAGGACAAAAAGCAAATCAGAGGACTGGTCCAGAAGAGGAACCTTCTAGCTAATGAGAGTTCTGGAGGGAGGGATTCAAAGAAACAGAGGGAGACATTCCATGGAACAGTGCAAGGGAATTCCCCAGGTCCAGAAAGTTCCAGGTGGCTGATGCTGGGTGACAAGAGCCCCATCCTGAGATATGTCTCTGGGAAGTTCCAGAACGAAGAAGATTGTACCAACTCCCAGAGAGGACAGAACAGGCCACACCTAGTGGTGGAGAATTGCTTCCCAGCTCTGCAGAACCTGCACTGTCCCCAGGCACCTCAGGACTCACCGGGAACTCCACATCAGCTGAAATCTGGCAGGGCTCTGAGCCCACTGGCCACAGCCCCTCCTGCCACTGGTGCCTCAGACCACCTGGCTCTTCCTTGCTCAGCCAGGGCTGTGTGAGCTTTCTGTGCTTGGTGATCAATACCATATTGTTTACGGACACATATGAAGGTGGGAACGTCATAGAGAAAAGCAAGGGAGTGATTGACACAAATGCTGGGCATAGGAGGTATGTTGTGGGGAGTGGGGTACCCAGGGGACCACTAAGGCAGGAAGAAACAGTGATGGTCACAGGCGCTCACTGTGGTTCATTAAATCACATAGACATTTTACAGCCTCTTCTTTTTATGACACATTCAACAATTTAAAAAAAAAAAGCAGTGTAAGAGTGAGATCAGTCCAAAATCAGATGGAACCACACTCAGAAAAAAATAGTAAAGATGGAAGAGGTGGGGGAGGTCCTTGCATTCAGGGTGGATAAATATTTTAAGTTTTGTTAACATGTGAATTGTAACTACCTGTCTTAGGTGCTTATTTTCTGCTGTAATAATACTGGAGGGGTTGGCCAGTTAAGTCAGTTGGTTAGAGTGCAGCCTTGTAACACCAAGGTCGCAGGTTCAGATCCCTGTGTGGGTCAGCCACCACAAAAAAAGCAATACTGGAGACTGGGTAATTTACAAAGAACAGAAATTTATTAGGCTCATGGTTCTGGAGGCTGGCAAGTCCAAGAGCATGGTGCCTGCACCTAGCAAGGGCCTGCTTGCCGCATCATGACATGAAGTAAGATGGAAGGGTGAGAGCCAGCCAGAGAGGCTTAATCTACACGTGAGGGTGGAGTCCTGCCACTAGGAGCCCCCTCCCATACTGTTGCTCTGGGGATTAAGCTTCCAACACATGCTTTTTGGGGGAAACTTCTTACTTGAGGGGGTTATTCCACTCCAAAGAGACATATGTCCACATCTAAAGACATTTTTGTTGGTCACCACCATGGGGAGAGGGTTGTTCCTGGTAACTGGTGGCCAGGGATGCTGCTCAACAGCCTACTGTCCCCAGGACGCCCCCACCCCAGAGAACACTCTGGCCCCAGATGTCAACAGTACCAAGGCTGGGAAACCCTGCATTAGAAGAAACAAAATACTGTTTCCAAACCAGCTGAAAGAAAAAGAAAAAAAGAATAAAAAAGAAAAACCAAAACAAACAAATACAACCTCCGGCTTAAGAGAAGTGAGCACAGAAGAACAGGACGAAGAGAAGGCGGCACCAATCAGCAACTAAATCTAAAATGCAGCCCTGTGTCTTCTTAAGGTCCCTGGGGCCTTGACCTTGTGCAATCCAAGTCAGTCCTCGGGGCTCCTCTCCCTCCAGGTGGCAGCATCAGGCCCTGGGACTGTGCCTTCCTGTCCCCACTGTCCCCTCTGCCTGTCACTGCCTGGTCACCCCCCCACCCCCCACTGACTGCTCCTGCTGGTCCCCTCCCCTCCCCCCCCTCGGTCACACCAGCTCCATCCTTCCTGATCCACTACAACTTGGGGTCACCTTGACCCCGCTTTCTCTGACTCCTCACATCCAGCACACTGGGCAACCTGCCAGCTCAATCTTCGAAACCAACCCCCCTCCTTGAACCTGAGCATCTTGGCCCCTCACCCACCACTCCCACATGGCTGCTCGTCCAGGCTGTGGCCCGTCCCCTGCTCAAGACTGTGCCCAGCAGCCAGAGGGAGGCTTTGGGAGAGTTTCTGTCCCGATCTGAGACCCCTTGTGGGGCTGTCTCCCTCAGGGAAGCCCAAGGAATTTTCCTGAGAGAAAATTCCAGAGCTCATGCCACAAGATGCTGCTGGAACAAAGCCAGGGGAGATCAAAAGTGATATCAGTTACAAAGAGGGTCACAACTCAGTTAGAGAAGGGCCAGTTCACCAGGAATATAGAGTCAAGATCTGGACACCCAAGAACTCCATGGATAACATACAATGATCTGATAAAGTATTAAAGAGAGCCAGTCACACACATGGCAGAGAGAGCAACCACAGTGGAGAGGGGCTGGGTTGCATGGAGCTGAGGTGCCCGGCAAGCCCCGATGGGCTCTTGGCCTCAGTGTTCAGCCAGAGTCCTCTGTACCTTCTCAGCCCACAGACTCTGCATCCTTCCTCTTGCCCAGACCCCAGCTCAACTCTCTCCCTGACCTCCCACCTGCAACTTCACCTCTTTCAGTCCCTCCCCTGCTCAAACACCTGCCATGGCTCCCCACTGCCAGACTCAGGAGCTGCAGCCGGTGCATCTCCCCGCCTCCCGTCAGCCCCAGGGCGCTGTTTTCCAAGATTTCCTCAGCAAGAGAAAGAGCAGTGTCGCCCACCAAGGACAGCATCCTGAAGAAGGCCGTGCAGGGTAGAAACATGTCTAGGAAACCCAACTGGCCCCTTGGCAGAGGGGACAAGGCACATCGCACACGGGAGCTCTCAGGGATCAGTCTGAAGCAGCCGGCATCTCCCCAACCCATTGTGCCACTCCCGCTCACTAGGGCGCAACACGGCACGCCCACGACATCCCTGTTCACGTTCTGATCCAGCTCCCGCCTCTCCTGCTGGGACTGGTGTTTGGGTTGCAACATGCACGATGACTAAGAGGAGGGAAGAAAATAAATGCCAACAATCAGGAATAGATGCCCTGCCTGGCTAGAGGTCATGGAAAGATGCGACCTGAAACTGCAATGAGATACCACGTCACACCCCCAGCAGGAGAAGATGAGAAAGTCGGAGGCCACCGGGGGTGAGCCAGGGTGCAGCATAAACCCTGCATGCTGCAGTGGGCAACTCTGTCGGCAGGAACACTCTGGGGAGTGCTTTGGCAGGGTCTCACGGAGGTGACCCCTTAGCCGAAGGTCCCTTATGGACACACCCCAGGGAGAATCTCACCCTTGTGTAGAGGAGCCAGGACCACGGGCAACAATCACACTGTTATTTCTGTTGCAAAAAGCTGGCAACAGTCACCCAAACACCCAGCTGTTCGGGAGTGAAAAATCATGAAGAACATGAGAAAGTTAGCTGTTCTAACAAGGAAAGAGCTCTAAGAGAGGCTGGCGAGAAAATCAGCCAACCAGGTTAGGGTTGAGACAGCATTTTTTTCCTGTCAGATGCGCAAAGATCAAAAAGGCTGGTGATTGTAACACCAAGGTCAAGTATTCGGATCCCTACACAAGCCAGCCATTAAAAGAAAAAAAAAAAAAAAAAGCTGGTGCATATGTGTTGTAAACTGAAAGATCTCTTTGTAAGAGTATCTGGCGTTTCTGTTCCTTTTTGGATAGATTCCCCCAAAAGATGACCCTAACATGAGGACTCAGGGCTGGTGGTTTCTCCAGGATCTCTTTGTAAGAGTATCTGGCGTTTCTGTTCCTTTTTGGATAGATTCCCCCAAAAGATGACCCTAACATGAGGACTCAGGGCTGGTGGTTTCTCCAGGCGGTGACCCCAGGAAGCCCCAGTTGGGAGGTGGGGACTTGAGCTAAGGAGGGAAGGTGCCCAGCAGGGGGTGCCAATGAGCAGGTGACACTGTGGGCACAGGGCTCAGTCCCCCTGGGAACCTGAGGGGAGCCGTATCATCTCAGAGCAGCCCCACCCTGGGGCACAGGCTGGGCTATTTATCTTCCAACTCTCCACAGTCATTGGCTGAGGGCTGCTCCTGGGCTGCTGGGTTGTGTGCCTGTGGGGAAGCCCCTAGGCTGGATGACAAGTGCTTACAGTGTTTGGTGGGGACCATGAAGCTTGGGCTTGGGGTGGGGTACTGGCAGCATCAGCCACGGTGTTAATTTATTCCTTGATCTTTGACCCAGCAATATCATTCCTAGTAACTCATGCCACAGGCACACCAGCACAACGAACACCCGGGGCACATACCAAAATATCTGTTTCAGAAAGTACTTGGTGAACAAATGTCTTTGTTTGGCCTGCTATAACAAACCTATCATAGAGTAGGTGGCTTATAAACAACAAAAATTTATTGCTCACAGTTCTGAAGATTGGGAAGTTCAAGATCAAGGAGCAGGCAGACTTGGCATCTGATGAGGACCTGCCTCCTGGTTCATAAATGGTGTCTTTTCCGTGGTGGGAGAAGAATGGGGGAGCTCTCTGGGGTCCCTTTTATAAGGGTATAAATCCCATTCTTGAGGGCTCCAATCACCTCCCACCTCCTAGGGCCGGCCTGGTGGCGCACTCGGTAGAGTGTGGCGCTTGGGAGCGCGGCGGCGCTCCCGCTGAGGGTTCGGATCCCATATAGAGACCAGTCCGCTCACTGGTTGAGCACGGTGTGGGCGCGACACCGAGGGTTGCAGTCCCGTTGCTGGTTGCAGTACGGGCACGACACCGAGGGTTGCGATCCCATTACCGGTCACTAAAAAAGACAAAAAAAAGGGAAAAAAAACCCAAAAAACTTGCCAAAATAACTTCAAACATGTTTTGGAATTCGTGGGAGGGTGGGGGAGGTCAGAGCCAAAGTAGAGAGGTAAGCAGGAGAAGTAATTTAAATTTTTATTAAATATACTCTCTTGGCACAAATCTTTAAAATATATAAACATCATATATAAACAAAGTGTCTTCATGGCATCAAAATATAACTCCAGACCAGGACCAGCCACCAGCGGGCGGCGGGGAGAGGGGTGACCACAGACGCCCAAGGTCAGCTGTGTGCAGAGGTGGAGGTGGGGCCGGGAGCTGCTTTACTGGGCCCAGCAGGACCTGGGGGACCCTTTGGCCCCTTGCTTCTCCTGCCCAGCCTGTGGCTCAAAGAAGGGAGCTCCCCAACCATCCGTTTGGGGTGGACCCCCCCAATCCCCTGCTGCCCTTGCTCACCTGGAGTCTCCCTGTGGAGTCTCTCCCAGGTGCTGGGCAGGGTTGGGAGAGGGGATGGGATGCTCAGCCAACAGGACAGCCCCTCACAGCCATTGCAGGCTGCCTGGGCTCTGGGGGACAAGCTCAGGAAGGCCACAGGTCCAAGGCAGGAACAGAAAGAGGGCAGGACCAAGGGAAGGAATGAAGTCAGGACTGTTAAAGCAATTGGGGCATGTACGCCTGATCAGGTCCGTTCATGCGATGTGGCTGCTGAGCCAGCTACAAAAACCAGCTCTCATGGCCACCCTGGTCCTGGAACCAGACTGGACCCATTAGGGGATTGATGTGGACAGACGCAGGGTTGAAAACAAACAAGCTGGAAAATAAAACCAAAAACTCAAGAAAGCCCAATGTCATTAGAAAGCAGGTGTTTCTGAGTCCCTGTGGTACCTGGTGGCCCTAGGGGACTTCTCCAAGAGACCAGCTGGCTGCAGGTTCCCCGGGCTACCTTGACTCCTCCATGTATCCCACCCCCAGGCTGTTCACTGTCTGGGGGCTCCCACTCTGGGAGGTCAAGGCCACCGACCACCTCTGTGTGCTCTGCTCAGGGAAATCAAACAGCCTCTTGCTCCATTTCCCGACCAAGTACCAGCTCAGATGGGAGCCAGGGATTCATCGGAGCCCACAGTGGGCAGAGGATCAGTGGCCTGCAGGGCAGGAGCTTTCAGGCTAGAGGAGATGGCCTGGGCACTCAGTTTTCAGCAGATGCCCAGGGTTGGGGAGTCAGACCCAAACCGGAGGCAGTTCGGTGTCATGGTCTGTGCTTCAAACCCTGCTTCGCGGAGGCAGCGTGACCCTCCTGGGAAGGTTGCAAACCAGGTGGGTGGGCGACAGAGGGGAAGACCCGCTCCTGGGGCCCCCACACTGATCTCGGAGTATGGGATGGGGGTGATGCTCTCGGAAGAAGGCTCTTCCTGAGCAGGAGGCTCTGGTGACAGAGGAGCGATCACCTAGGAAATTACGGAGAAGGCAGGACAGGCAGGGTGGGGAGGGCGAGGGCTGCGTTTTTAGCCGAAGCTGAGCTTGAGGCTCCTCCCATCCTGGATAGGGTCCGGAGCCAGGCACGACACAGTCAGAACAATGGACAGCTGGAGTCTGGCTCTAAGCCGAGTGGGGATGGGGTCACTAGAATCAGCAGCATATCCGAGGACACACAGCGCCAGGAGGCAGAGGCGACCACTCCTGACTCGGGGCCTTTTGGGCAACACCTCCAGGAGACAGCGCTAGCCCCTGGGGAGGAGGGAAGAGGAGAGCCTCGGGAGCCCCCGGCCACTGGTTCCAACTACGCACTTCAAGCGCTGCCCGCGTTACCCTCAGACCTGCGGGCTCCGAGCCCTGGCCCCCAGGCCTGCCTGCTTGCTTCACAAAGCGCTCCGACGTGGCTCCCGGGGTCGAACCATACGCACCCTCGTTCCATGGGCTCAGAAAACCAAAGGCGTCACCGGTCCACCATCCTGGGGCAGCTGACCCGCAGGGGCCCTAGCTCTGTAGGTGCCGCAGCAGGATCTGCATGAGGTCGAAGGTGGTGAAGCTGATGCCCACGGCGATGGGGCCCTTGAGCCAGTTCATGCTCAGGCCCTTGTAGAGGCCGCGCACCGCGCCCTCCTCCCGCACGATGGTGCGCAGCGTGCACATGATGGAGGCGTGCGGGTGGCCCGTGACGCCGGCCGTCTGCATGCGCCGCCGCACCACGTCCAGCGGGTACGAGGCCGACTGCCCGATGAGGCCAGCGCAGGCCCCGAAGATCATGCGCTCGAATGGGTAGGGCTGCCGGTGGCCGCTGTACTCTGCGGGGTGAGGAGCGTGGGTGGCCAGGAGGGCGCCGTGAGGGGGCGTGCACGCTGCACCCAGATAAGAGCGCGTACATGCACCCACAGGCGTGAGCACGCACCCTGCACCCATAGGCAAGAGGGCGCACACCTGGATAAGAAGATTCCGCACACATGCACGGGCACACCCACTTCCTCACCTCCCAGTCATTCCTTTTTAATCAAAATTAAGAAATAGAAGTTTCTTTCTTTTTTAAAGATGACCGGTAAGGGGATCTTAACCCCTGACTTGGTGTTGTCAGCACCACACTCTCCCAAGTGAGCCAACCGGCCATCCCTATGTAGGATCCGAACCCGTGGCCTCGGTGTTGTCAGCACCGCACTCTCCCGAGTGAGCCACGGGCCGGCCCAAAATAGAAGTTTCTTAAAAGACAGAAAAGCACAAATAATCATAGCCAAGCCCTAAGACCCAAAACGAGACCTTGCTCACATCTACTCACATCAGTTCCATTCTAGAAAAGAAATTAAAAAGCCCCAGGCGCCTGAGTCCCTCTCCACAGGATGACCCTGAACTACACCTTGCACCGTCTGGGGGGGTCTATCCCGACACAGGGAGCGCGCACGAGGAAGAAGGGGCAGCAACTGATCGACAGAGGTTCCTTAAACATCTATAGTCGTTAATTCAGAACTAGGAATTAAAAACTTCGAGACAGGGATACTTACCATATTGGCAAAAACACGATGAGGTGGGCTGAGAATGGGGGGACAGGGCGCCAGGAAGAGCGACAGGCAGAGAGAAAAACTGAAAACAGGGCCTTACAGGCTCTTATGGAGCCCAGCTCCCAGATGTGGCTGATCACAGAAAACCTGGAAATAGCCTAAACGTCCCCTAAGAGGGGGAGGCTCACCGTGCAGCCACTAGGACAGGACAGAGCTGCAGCTGCTGCAGAATGGACTCAAAACCTGCTGGGGGCTGGCCAGTTGGCTCAGTCGGTTAGAGTGTGGTGGATTCAGATCCCCTTACTTGCCAGCCAGCCAAAAAATAAACCCCCAAAAACCTGCTGGTGGGAGCTGCGCTATCAGGTGAGGTGACTCCATTTAGGGCACTGTTTATAACTGTGAAATATTACAGGTATTGCTTATGCTCCATACAGATGCATACCGAAGCATTTCTAACCATCTGGAGGGATCCAGCCCACACTTCTAAAAATAGGCCTCGGGAGGGAGAGGGGCAGGGGTGGGAGACACGGGACCCCAACTTTACTTGTAACGTTTTATTTCTTTAACAAAAATCATCTGAGAGAAAATACGGCAAAATGTTAATGCCTATTCTCACTGGGTGGCAGGTCTGAGTGTTGTTATTTTCTATACTTCTCTGTACTTTTAGGTTTTTCTCAAAATTACAGAAATGAGAGAGGGCACATCCCTTCGGTCCGGTGTTACCCATATGCTTTGTGCTTATGCGTGCACAAATGTGAGGTGGCCACCAGCACCCTGGGTGACACACGGACTTTGCAAAGTTGCTCTTAAAATTAGGCATTAAAGGTTGCCCATCCAGGTTCCTCAGTGGCGGATGGATACACTGTGTGTTCTCCTGATTCAGACTCTGAGCCCCCAGCCCGCTCTACCCAGATCAGACCCAGGTCATATAGGGTCTGTGTGACCCCGGCAGACGTGTTGCCCCTGGGGAGTGCTCCTGGCTCTCCTTACCTCTGTGCAGGCTCTTGAGGGTCTCATAGGTGAAGAAGCTGAGCCCAGCGTAGGGAATGACCCCTAGCACAGTAGGCGTAAATCCGTGGTAGAGGGTCTTCAGCCCCTCTTCTCGGGAGATGCGGATGAAAACGTGAAAGATGTTGCTGTACCTGCAGGATAGAGTGGCCGAGTGTGTGGGCCGCGGGCCTTACCCGTGCAGGGAGGAGCCACAGAGGCTCTCGGGCCTCCACAGCCGATAGGCTGGGTCTGGTTGTTGAAGCTTTCTCTCTTTGAGGAATATAACCACGCTGGAAAAGCTTTGGAATCAGAGGGCCAATGTGTGCTTAAGCCCAAACTCCACCTTTTCTACAAGGATCACTCTGGTGGGCTCAGCTCCTGTCTTTTTTTCCTTCACATTTCTAATGCATCTGTCCTCAACTCAAGATGAAGACCCTTTGTTTGATCTCAGCAGAAACTGACCTCCATGGTAAGAGAACCCATTACTGCCTTTCGGGAACAGCTACAGAAGGCACACCAGGCCTGCTCTGTACCAGGTGGGGTTGGGGTGGCGGATTCTCAAGGCACCTCCCACTGGAGATGGACACAGAGGCCTAGACCCAAACCCCAGGGGCCCCACGGAGGTATTCCAAGCTGGGAACCCGATGCCACACAGAACTCCTGGTGCTGGGAGTGTGTCACCTATGTAGTACTCACATCTCCTTCGGCGTCACGGCCATCCGTGCTCTGACCAGGTCCAAGGGGTAGGTCAGCGATGCGGCTGTCGTTCCAGCCAGTGCACCGGCGAGGAGGCGAGGCCAAGGGGGCAGGGCCCTGAACGGGCGGGGGAGAAGGTAAGTGAGGGGGCTGTGGATGAGCAGAGGCCCAGCCTGGGGCACCCACAAACCTCGGCCTGGGGGACCAGGAACATGGGGCCCAACTGGCTTGTGGGGTGGGCATTATGTTGAGATTCCCTTTCCTCCTCCTCCTATGAACTGATGAACGACGTGTGTCTTCCCTATAGCTCTGCAGAAACAGCGGCCCGCCCCCCTGGGTCTCAGGCTCTGGGTGGGAGGACATCGAAGAAGTAAACGAATGGGCAAAGGAGAGGAGTTCTGAAGACAGGAGGACAACGTGATGTAGTTGAGTGGGAGGCCTTGGTCAGGAGCGGGCGGGACACGAGTGTGGTGAGGCGGGGCGAAGGGCGTGACACTGGGGGGTGTGGCATGGCATGGGGCAGGGCACGGGAAGGCGTGGCAAGGGTGTGGCATGGGAGGATGGGCGTGGCGAGGCTTACTCTCCGCGGAAACCGTAGTAGGCACCCAGGATGCGCTTGTACTCCTCGTGGGCGCTGAACTGGATGGCGGCGTAGGGCACCACGCGCACCATGGTGGCCGAGTTCCCGCGCCACAGGCTTAAGAAGCCCTCGTTGAGGTAGGTGAAGTAAAGGAGTCGGAATGCCTCCTGGGGGACAGGGGGAAGTCAGCGCCCCTCTGCCTCCGCCTGCCCTCCCTGCTCGCCCACTCGGCCGGCAGAGCGCCCCTAAAATGCAGAGGCTGGGCCCGGGCGCCCCCCCCAACCCACCTGACTGCCCTGCCTCGTGTTGTCCAACCTGGACATGATCGGCTCCGCCCCTCCCCCCATGTTCTGTGGCTCGCCCACTGGGATCCCCATCCCCCCATTCCACTGACCCTGGGAATTGTCACGTGAACTGGAGGTTTCAAAGGGAGCTCAGAGCCCTGCACAGGGGTATTCTTATTGGTGTCTGATAGTGTAGCTTTAGCTTTTAAACATATTCTTTATCTTTCTCTTTATTAAGAAGGTAACACCTGGACTGGCCAATTAGTTCAGTTGGGTAGAGTGTGATGTTGATAACACCAGGGTCAAAAGTTCGGATCCTGGGGCCGGCCCGGTGGCGCACTGGATAGTGCGCCGCTTGGGAAGCGCGGCGGCGCTCCCGCCCGAGGGTTCGGATCCCACGTACAGACCGGCTCCCGCTCACTGGCTGAGCGAGGCGCGGGAGCAACGCCGAGGCTT